GCAATTGAGGAAAAAAATAAATTGTGGGTTTTACATGCTTGAAAATGTTTTATATGTTAGGTTTTATTTTTAAATTTTCATTTGAATACAATTTACATGTTATGTTTATGTATTTTAATTTTAGATAATAGGTTTTTTAAAATATTTATTTTAAAATTTAAGTTTATATTTTTAGTAATACTATGTTTAATATTTTTTTTGAATTTTTTGGCATTTTTGTATGTTTGTGCCTTTCTTTGAAAAGGCACGCACCTAACCTTACACCTTGGGCCTCGGGCACAAATTCCCCTTAAGCTTTTTTTGCACCTTGCACTTTTAAAACACTACTTGGGAGGAGGCAATAAATGGTATAAAAGTGAAGGTTGCATTATGGGTTAAGACATTGGACTGCTTTCAGAATTACTCAATTACTGACATTCTAAGAGCATGGAAGGAGGTAGCACAGTCTACTAGAGAAAAAGAAAAAATTCAAGTGGAATGGAAACCCTAGAAGGTAACAAAATGAAACTGAACTTTGATGGAAGCTCCTTGGGTAACCCGGGCATGGCAGGAATAGGTGGAGCAATCAGAGATTCAAAGACAAGGATTTGGCATTATATTTAGGGCCAATTGGGTTTGCAAATTCTTTAAAGGCTGAAATGTTGGCATTGCTGTAGGGTCTTCAGCTGGCAAAGCAACTGGGCCAGGGCTATAGACAGGTGGAGGTAGAAGGGGATTCCAAAGTTATTATATCATGGATGAGGTGTAGCAGAGATATACCTTGGACTCTTAAGCATGCCTTCAAAGAAAAAGGATTGTATTGGATTTAAATGTGAAATTCAAATCGATAAGGAGTGCAAATGGGTTAGATGATTCTCTAGCTAAGCAAGGGGCTGCAAGGAAGCAACTGTACTGGACTTCTTTGTAATCAAACCATTGTTTAATTGGGATGACATTCTTGTCATCAAAGTGTACTGATTTCATACATCTAAATTAACAAAACATCTCTTTTGCTGATAAAAAAAGGCAGAAAGCAAAAGGCCAGATTTTATAGTATTCCTGTTTCAGGTCTAACTGCTGCTACATTAACTCTACATAGGTAATGCAACTTTAATGTTCAAAAATCATGTTTGACGTGATTTGTGGTTTGAAGTTTTGAAGTTTTGAAGTTTTGAAATTTTGAAGTTTTAAAGTTTGAGATTGAAACAGGAAAACCACCTGATGTTCAAAAATCATGTTCGAAAGTTCAAAAATCAAGTTTCTATTGATCATAAAAAAATCATGTTCAGTAGAGACGATTCAACTTGAAACAGGAAAACCACAGCTTGCATTGGTTTCACATTAGAAGAAACATCAAAATGACATTTCTTGAATCAAAACATTCCTGCCTCACTTGTCCTTTGCAGCGCTTACTGGCTGGCATCCATGTGTTTGAAATGCACAATAATATCATGCTCCAAATTTTGTGTTAAATCACCTATCACTCTCTCTGTTCGCACTTCTACCTTAAATGCCATCAGCTGAAACACAAATGATACTTAAACACCATTCAAGTTGCTGATGAAAACTCTCATGTCGGTCCACATAAGAGATAATTGTCACCAACTGTAAGTTTTTGGGAAACATAAAAATATTTTATCAAATATATGAATGACAATGACACAAGATAGCATGAACCAAGATTCAGTAATGGCCCTTTTTAATATGAACTGTGAATTTAGTATAGCTAATTGTGGGGTTTTAGAGCACAGTACCTATGAATTAACTATAGTGAGATTTAAGGGATATTCATGGCTGAGAATTATAAAATTGGTGGAGATTGAGAATGTAAATAAAAAAAAAAGAATAAATGAACGAAAAACTAATGGGTAGGAATTAGACTGGTCAAATAGGGATTTAAGGTTTTAAAGTTCAAGAATTTTGGGATGAAATTCATGAACTATCACTTTATTTCAAAAAGTATCAGTATGACATCTATCTTGATAAGTGCAAAGTGGCATCAAACATTCAAACCGGCCCAAGTCACTGAGCTAAGTGTGACACAGAAGCAATAGAGGAGAAAAGCTTCAAAACGATGGTTTATCCATCTACATATCTTATGTTTCTGACAAAACATTTTCCTATAAAGGCAAGTCTGCTGGGATGGTTCACCAGTCAACAGGAAGCTTTCAAATTGACATTTGAGTGCTGAAATAAATCAGGCATGCTTAAACTGATAGTTGATCTACAACTAAACTCCACAACTTAAGTGGCTAAATTGAAAACCTTATTCATTTGTCCTTTAGTAGATAAATTTTTAAGAAGGTTGTGGGCTCCTTAATGGCTGAAGCTGAAGTTGGGTAGATTATTACACCATTGAATATTTTATTATTTAATTATTTTTATCCACTAAAGACAAAAGCAACAAGTCATTCAATTCAGCAACATCAGTCATTATCAAATAGACCCTTAGACTTAAATTAGGATCAAAATTCAACAGGAGAATAAGAACTGACTCAAACAACAATGAGACTTCGAGGAGAATAAAGTAATTACAAACTCTTACTCTGTGAAAACCAAAGATAACAAACTTTCTTATCGAATATTTCCATAGAGAGATTCTAAGACAATCTAAGATACTTAAAAGACAGTTAAACTCCACACAGAAAATAAATTAAATAACTTACAATACAAGACAACTCAAGTAATACTGTTTCACTTCAGAAGCACATGTTGTTTGTATGTTGGCCATAACTCTATCAAATTACATCCAATTTCTGTTATTTAGGGTTCATAAAATAGGTAATCATTAACATTATCAAAAGCAAGGTTCTGGGTACAATTGGCAAAATGTATCCATTAAGAGAGAGGATGGAATGGAAATTTTTATCAGAGTGAGTTGAGTCATTTAAAAGGTCATTACCCTATGTTGGTGACATGGGTCTTATGAGTAGAGTGGACACAGACCTAGGCTCTTGCATTTTCAAAACAAAGTGTCCAATCTTATAATTGAACCAAACATTCCCATGCTTGTCAGCCCAAGATTTTACCATTACACCAAGTAATGACCCCTCATTGAATTTAATAATGTATCCAAGTGCCAAATTCCTCCTCAGCACGTAAATGAATAGAGTTTTCTTTGTCTTGTAAAAGTTGCATTAGTAGATTCTAGAAACTAACTTATGTCCCTTCTGTTAATCCCTTGCAGTCTATTCAGCCCTAATACAAGTACTACCAAATAAATCCACTTCTTATATTATTAACATAAACAGAGAGTATACCAATAAAAATGCCTCTACCACACATCTCAATTTATATTCAACAAAGACAATGTCAAATTGACTCTAGAAAAGCTCTTGAGTCTGCTTTGTGGAAAAAAGAAAGTCAATTATCTTACGAAGGAGAAGTTATAAGCTATGCATTAGAGCTATTTCCAAACAGTCAATCTAGTCTTTTATTTATTTTTTTTTTTTTTTTGATAAGTGAAGGTAAAATTTTATTAAAGAGCAATAAATATAGGCAGTACAAGCATCCCCAAAAAAGAGGCACGAGGTTCTACCTCTCAGATGATAAACAAATTACAACTAAGCCCAATACAAATTAAATCCTTGTTTACCCCTTGTTTAGCTAACACATCCACCAATGCATTAGTCGTTCTCCTAACCCAAGATATCCTCAAATCCATACTTCTATTAAGCCATTTAAATTTCTTCATCTCATCCTTATATCACAAAATTATAGACTTTGGATCCTTGAGCCATCCTACCACCAATTTTGAGTCCCCTTCAATCTCCACATTTATCAAGCCCAACTCACTTGCAATTTGTACCCCTTTCAAAGCAACAAGCAGTTCCGCCCTAATGGAATCCCCCATTCCCACTGCACCAAAGAATAAAGTAATGGTATTTCCTTTTGTGCCTCTCAATGCCCCTCCTATTCCTGAGGGGCCAAGGTAGCCTTGCCTGCTCCCATCAAAGTTTAGTTTAACTAAGTCTTCAACAGGAGGCTTCCACACTAATATCATCAAAGGACAAATGCAAGAAAGAATCTACTTTTCTAATATAGTATATCACCCTCACCATTATACAATCTTTTACTGCTTCCTTATTTCTCTCCTTTCCTGAAAAAAATCTAACATTTCTTTCTTCCCATAAAGTCCATTATACAGCTGCTCTTACACTTCTCCACATAATTCTTCCCCGTCTTTTATGCCAAACAAATCTGAAAGGGTCAAAAAGCTTTTCCACTTTCATTGGCAAAGTTCACCTGCACCCAAACAAAGAGAAAAACCATTTCCGGATGTGTGCAACAAAAGGACAGGGTATTAGTAAGTGGTAACAATTCTTTTCATTGAATTTACAAAGAGTGCACCAATTTGAGGATAAGCACAAGGAGGGTCTTCTTTTTCGTAACATGTCCATAGTGTTAATCTTCCCATGATACACTTGCCAAGAGAAAGCTCCTATTTTGGTTGAAACAGGCTAATACCAAACTTCCTTAGCAGGGAAAGGCTGAGATAGAGAAAACAAACAAAGAGACTTGAAAAATGAGGCACAAGAAAAGCAACCCTTAGGATGTGGAAACCAAATATGACTAACCAGTTTGGAAGGACCCAAGCAAACAAAATCAAGAAGTTGCAACAGCCCATTACCTCAACTAATTCATCATCCCTCAACCCTCTTCAAAAACCAAAATCCCAATTATGACGCAGTAGAAGAATAGGAGGTGCAATAAAACCCAAGACACACTTATTTTATTACTACAACACATCTTTCAAACTTTTCATTTTTCATGTTCATGCTGTCTTGTGTACTTATTCCATGTTAACTCATGGCACAACTTGCTACAACAAAGAGGATAAAAGGCAACTACTTTCAGGTTGTCTTCAGTTGTTTGTGTGTGCTGAAGGGGGTAAGGGATACAATATGATTAAAATAGTTGATATCTAGCCTTCAATGAATATGAAATTCTACAAATAAATTACATAAGACAAAACCAGATGAAGGACAAAGTTAATAGGAACCCAATATCTCAGAAAAAACCTGCAAAATTCTTGCCAAAGCTTCATCTTCAGAAACTTGACGCTGCCTCTTCACAACTAACTTCTTAGCTTCATCAACCCCTTTTCCTTTGTACGAAACCCTTTTATGTGCTTGAGACGAAGCTATATGTTTATCAACAGTCGATCTTACATACTTAAAAGTATAATGCCCAGGAATCAATTCAAGAATATCACCATCTGCAATCCTAATCTTGTCTCTGGAATACAACTTCCTCCTCTGATCGCCAGAATTAATGACAATTGGATTTGATCCCTCCTACAAATCAATTAAAACATTTTCTCCTATCAGTAAACAATCAAAGTGCATCATTAACAGAAACCGTTTCGAAAATTCAACATATGTTCCTGTTCTTATGTACAAAAGAACCAGATGTCAATTAAAACACTTCAATTCAAATATAGAGGGAAAATGCATGAGCCATTATATAATTAGAAAAGCTAATTATTTCTTAAACAGAACATCTCCAGCTACCTAAATTGACTACCAAGTTTTGCAATCAGAGGTATCGAATTGAAAATTGAGCTTGTCAAAGAGCAACTGCTTAGTAATTTCAGTATCTGATACAACTGCAAACAAATTTCACTCATTGAAGAGAACGAGAAGAGGATAAATATAAATATTCCGCAAAAATTAAAATAACTACTTACTACAACTACATCAACGGAACCATCAATCGAAGCATTGAGAGTAATATGTTTACGGCTCAATCTTTTATCAGAGATGCAGATATCATTACGGCCGAAAACATTGGCCCCTTCTGAAATTGGTAATTTTGAGGCTGAATCGTCTTCCTTCAGATTGTTAGTAAGCGGAATCAAAAATCCAATGTTCACCTGGAATGTTAAAATAGCAAAGTAACAAGTTATATTCAGAGTTCAATCCATAGAGTCGTTACACAAGAACGGCTCTAGAGGAAAGAGTAAGCACCTGAGACTTTGACATTAATGAAAGTTTGCTCGCATGAACACTGACGAAATCAAATGAACCCCGAAGCCCACTTCTCAGAGAATCATCAATGGAATGGAGTGAAGAAAGACCAAAGAATTTTGTTGAGACGAGCTGACGCTGCTTATAGAAAAGGGAGGGAAAAGGATGGTTTCGGCTTCGGAAGAGTGGGACCCGGAGAACACTAAACGCATTTGATTTTGATTTGGGGGAGAAATCTGAGAGAATCGTTGTAAATACTGAGCGGCTCTAGTCTATGTAAGGTAACATAAGTTGTTGATTCCGCGCGCCGGAGTAATGGAAGGTATATGCATACGACGCAACATGCGCATTCTAGTTGACAGCAGACACATCCACGTGGATCACGAAGCAGATAATAAAGATCCACGTAGCCAGTCTTTCACTGTTTCTTTGAGTTTTCTGGACGACCAACCACGGGGTTTACCAAAATGGTTCATCGATGGTTTCGGTTTGTTAACGAGTCAATCTACACTCTACTGTCTAGCCGCATGGCTACATTAGATTTAATAAGTTAAACTAATATAATTAAAATAAAGTTCATTTTATTAATAAGATGAATTAAAATTAAGGGAAAATTTCTGAATAATACCCTTAACAAGGTTGTGTCAAGTCAATCTCCCAACTTCAAAACTTGTCTCTATGTACAAGTATTCTGAATTTTCAAAATGTGTCTAATAGGTCTGTTAGTTGATTATCAGTTAACTCCATCAAGTGACATCGGCTATAGTATTTTTTTTTGACATCGGCTTTAGTAAAATGATAAAATTACTCTTTATAATATTTTTTTGACCATTTTACCCATTTTGTTTAAATGTTAAAAGAGTGAAAGGGGAATAAGGATTATGAAACCGAATAGGTGATCGTTTGGTTATAGTTGATCGTTGAATGGGAGATTGAACGGGGGAGTGGGAGCTTCAACATTTGATCGGTGTCCGGTTTCAGACCCTTTTTTCCCCTTTCCTCTTTTAACACTCAGATGAAATGAGTAAAGTGGTCAGATAAATATCATAAAGGGTAATTTTTTCACTTTGAAATTATTTAATGCACACTTGATGTCATGTGATGTGGTTGACTAACAGTGGGACCTATTATTCGATTAGATACAATTTGAAAGTTCAAGGTACTACAGAAACACATTTTGAAGTTTGGGAACCAATTTCATACAAAGATTGGCTTCTACCAGGACAAATCTGTGCCTATACCATTCTAACAGCCTTTTGTAATCTTGTATTGGGAATATCTCCCTATAAAATAAAGCATACAAATACGGAGATATTCTCAATGCCCACACTATTTAAAAAGTACAGAGATATTCTCAATACAAAGCAGTAAAAGCTGCTCGAATGGGCTTTGCTCTGATTGAAGCCGAACTCCTTGACACAATCACCAAAATTTAGAATACTATTCAAGAATTTCCCTAGAATTAATTTTAATATTATATATTATTAATGAAATATATTAAAAATCCCCCTTCTTTAATTCATTAATTAACCATCAATTCTTGGTGTGCAAACCATTTGTAAGAAATATTGTTAAGAAGTCCAGAGGGTGAAATTAGACAAAAGCTCAACCCTGAGCGGTTGGCCGCACCCAACTGACCCAAGTTGGGTGAACTGAAGATTTAGTTGTACATGACTCGAAGAATCTCTACATTGGGCCGAGTTCTTTCAAAATTTTGACTAAGCCCACCCAAGTTGTACCCCTAGACATGGAGTATAGACTGCTAAGGGCCCATTTGGGACGGCTGAAGCTTTGGTTGAGCTGCTATTGAGAAGCACTAAAAGAAGCTTAAATGGAAAGTCTTCTCTTCATTTATTGAATTGTTGTATGACAGTAAATTTGGGTTTCCGGCTCAAAGTGCCTGTTTAGGCTTTGCAAAGTAGGCCGCATAAGCACATCCTTTTCACGAGCAATGTTTGGTGAAAACTTAGAAAACCCAAATTAATTGTATTTCAGAAGAAAAGAAAAATAAAGCCTTTTCATAAAGCTTATTTTACTAGCTTCTGCAAAGCAGTCCAACAAAAGCTTCAGCCCTCGGAAACGAGCCATAAGATGGGGGATTTTTCTTTTTTTAACCTTACCTCTCTGCATTCAGTAATAACAATAGGGATGATTGCAAATCCTCATGTAAATTGAGAAGCATCGGCTTTTGCTACTCCAGCTACACTACGGAAGTCTTTCAAATCCTATACCCATAAGGCCATAACGTTAGAGGAGGTTCCATCCAATGGATACTTTACCAGCATGAGACATGAACTTACAAGTCTCTAAGGCTGTGTTTGGAAATGATGCAAATGGAGTGTAAATTTCAATTTAGGGGAAATTTGTACTCTGGTTCACTTTTGCCTGTATTTAGTAACATTACATTTATACATTGACAAATGACAGACTAATGCATATTTACATTGATAATAAGATGTAAAATCACATCAACAAAAAAGAAGTAAATTTACATTCAAGTGGATTTTTGATAAAAAAAAAAAACATATGCTTTATTGGAATTCATGTTTGCATCCATTACAGTTAATTAAAAGTCTGTTTGATAAGAATGTAAATTTGTCAATACAAAATTAACCTAATTTTACAATTTATATGAACCGTTTTACACTACATATTTGCATCATTTCCAAATACAGCCTAATGGATGAATTGGATTGAGATGGACAAAAATGATTCTATTTTTGAGATTCAGAACCAGCTTATTGGGATTAGGTTCCAAATTCAGACTTAGACAATCAAGTACCATTTACAGTCTCATCACTGATTGTTGTTTTGCTTTGGATCACATGTTGGCGTAGCTTGGTTTCATGCAAATCCAATAGGCTACTGTCACAAATGCCAAATGAATGATGGTTTTGTATTTGCAGTGTGTTACAATGCAAAAGCAAAACCCCAGTGAACATGATCCACAAAAAAATAGAGATATTGGAGAAAATTCACGGAGAATAAAAGAATTTTCTGTGAACAAAATAAAGGGGATAAGATAAAATTCTGAAGAAAAAAAAAATACTATATGAAGTGGAAGAGAGATAAGTGAGTCCCACTGTGGTACCTAAAAGGTATGGTACCTGATAACCAATTAATGAGTATTCATCCTAGTGGCAACTAATCAATTGCTATTCATCCAAACAAATTCACATGAATTTCTGATTAGTTAAAGTTTACATGTACCATTTCTGGCACCACAGAAATTGTTAAGAGGAAAACAAAATTATGAATAAAAATCGAGAAGGATCACATGCCTAATCTGACATACAAACCTAATTTTACAAATTATTGGAAAAACTGCAAATTTGTAAGAGAGTCGCGTCGCCCTCTCCCTGCAAATCATATATGCATCTTTTTATTTAACACTTTTGTTTTTGTTTGGATGAAGAATCTGTGAACTATCTGATTCTCTAATCCATTTATATAGCTAACATGGACATAGTTTGTTGAGTAAATCCCTTTTTATCTATTATGAACTGTTAAACTCCAATACAAAAATGAAGGTCTGATATCCAATACTATGATAAAATTGATTCTATATGCTTCCAGTTGTTTTTATTTGTTAATTTAAAGGATTTTGGTAACACTTCACCCTTTTTGGAAAATTAAAGGTAAAACAATCTGGTGGATAAGTATTGTGCAATGAGAAAGTTATCAAAACTAGAGAATTTGTGCACACATAAGACTATAATACAAAAGAGTTTAATATCATCCTTAACTCAAAATCTTAAACCTTTGGTAGTGGGTCAATCCTTGTATATAAGTTCCTTAAAATTCTTATTTCTTTTTAATATCAAACTTTTTCATCTTACACTTGCGCATGCATCCCAACATTAAGTTCAAACCTTGAAAAAGCAGTCTGTTTTACCCATAACATCTGATGACAGATGGTTCAATCAAATGGTATAAAGAAGAAATAGAAGACTCTTCAAGGTGATACCATTTCTTTCTAAAACCCTTAAAACCAATATTCATTGCCATAGCATTCAAAACTCAAAAGAGCCGGATGAAATGCCTCCTGATGTCAGTCAGCAAGGCAAAGTGAGTGAATAGACTTCTCATTGCAAGGTTCGAAATTTCGATACATATTAGATCATATTGGGAGCCTTCCAATACGTCCCTATAAAGAATGTTTCAAGGTTTAACCCGGTTCAGAGGGTAAAAGGGGTATATCGGGCTGTATCAATATTTTGAACTTTGCTCATGTGTGATAAAGTGAGCATTGATATCTTCATTGACTCCATGAAAAACATCAAACTCATTAATAATCAAAAATCTTATCAAGTGGGTTTCGACTATAATATGGAAAAGATATGATATCTGAAATATTTTTGACTAATCAACTGGATCATAAACGTGATAGCCAATCAGGTATTATCTATCAAAATTCATAAGTGGATTTTAATTGGTCAAAACTCTTGCGATACTATATCTTTCCCGCATCATAGATTTTCCCTATCAAGTATATTATATTATCCGCGTGTAAAAAGCAGAAACCTTTAAGGGGACATTAAATCCCAAATCCATCAGCTTCCAAATGAAGATTAGAGTTTGAGACAATTTAGAGATGCAACTTGGATCCCTGAATTTTGAGGGAATTTATAGGTATTATTAAAAATTCAATAAATGTTCAACGCAAGCGGGCCAAAGCCTGCCCAAGTTGGGGAATATGATTTCAGACTAAAGTGATATGCATCAATGTATGTCCGTCCTTCCTTGTGAATTGTGAACAAACACAGAAAATTACGTACTATCACTGATGATACAAAATGGGGATTGGGGCATAATATTGTGGACCCAATAAACGATATATTCTCTGCATGATATGATTTGGTATATGAATTGGATGGTTTGGATTGATCATTGATCAGCTCATCCATGATGGTATCCAACTGTCCTGCTGTATGATCTGATGAGTAGAGCACATAGAAATTTTGGATGGTGCGGATGGCATTGGGATTTGGGAGGAATCCCTAATTCCATTATCCATACCACAGGGCGTAGGATTATGTTTATGTTGTGGGCGGGAACCCGATTTTGAGAGCTTTTTGTTGCATTAAAATTTGCAAGCTTGCAATTAAAGGAAAAGGGTGGGATAGGTGTCTCAGTTGTGGATGGGCTTGGATCAGTAGTTTGATAGGAGAATGGTTGGTCGTTGTCTCGTAGACAGAGAGGTCTCCTAACGAGAGGCCCATTATCATCCATGATCCAGCAACTGTCCTGTCCTCAGTCCTGCCCATTAG